TACTATATATATATATATATATATATATATATATATATATATATATATATATATATATGAGTTTTAACCTTTAAATATGCAAGAATTTAAAAAAAAACTACAGAGATAGAAATGTCACGAGTTAGGAAAGACGTTGGGAAAAGATATTTATTTTTGGAGATAAATTTCGGTGTTAGAAGATCTTCACGAATTGTAAACTATTCTTGTCCAGTTATAACGTTGTGAATTCCCGCTGTGGATAAAATAGCCTCTCATGATCCTCGAGAATGCAATCTCGTTGCATAAATAAGGACATGACGATGAACGTCCGGGAAGATAACAGTAAAGAATGGCGTTCGTACGAGTTTTCGTGAACGCTTCCCGTCTCTTGAGCGAACTAAAGTTTCTTGGCAGATACGTGAAAGGAAAAATCTCCGCAACTTCCCTGCGGAATGTAGACGTCATGCTTTATTCATGAGGTCGCTAAATGCGGTCGGTTGCACTAGATGTGTATTTATTGCGATATCCGTCGTGTGTAAGATGCAATATTTTACTGATCATGTACTACAGTACTAATATTAGATTATTTTATATATTAGATCTTTCTCTTTCTTTTTTTTATCCTATTTACATAGAATCAATTTTAAAATCTCGATAGTGAACGCTTAAATCAATTATGATGTTTTATTAGAAATATATATATATATATATTTTTTTTAGACATAAATATATTACAATAAAATTTATCTATAATTTAATATAAAAACACATTTATAGATTGATCCCACTGATTTAAAACTATAAGATTTTGCTCAATTATTTTTTTTACAAATGTCTGAGAGCTATGTGTGCCACAACGAAAAAATATATTCGCGCGATTGGTAAATATAAGCGTATCGCGGCATCATATATCTCTATCTTTCGGAGAACGTTATTTGTCTCGTGTGAACAACGAATCGCTATCCCATTACGTTCATTCGCACACAGACCAATGAGTGCAGAATACCAGGTAAAGCGGAGTAAATTTTCCCAGTCATGTGCACGCAAAAGTGTGCGGTCCATGATTTATGGCGCTTCATTTCTGATCGATACACAATAGTCCGTCTCTGTCCGCTTTCCGGCAGCATCCCGAATGCCGCTCTTTCTGGTAGCGATACATAAAGGCTTCGTGCGCCCGTCAGCGTGGCGCGGTAATGATTTCATCCGAAGCTGCGCGGGGCACCGGGAGGCGTCGCTAGAAGACAGGAATTGATAGATTTCGCTCTTTTGTGAGCGGCTGGGAGCCATGCAAATATTGAACTGAAAGCACAAGGCTCCTTAAAGCACTCCCCCTATCGCTATCGAGACTCTTTCCGAGTTATATGGTTCGACCGTGAAAAGCAAAGACAGACGGAGGGAGATGAAGGATGAAGGAGGGCGAAGAACCCGGGATGAGAAATGGAATAAAGGGGAAGAGGGAGGAGAAGGGGAAAGTACAGTGTCTAAGTCTGGGTTTCCGCTTTTCCTTTCGTGTCACCTTTCCACCTTCCTGAACGATAGCTCTCACGTTCGAGCTCCTTCTTCATTGTTTTTCCTATCTTTGTCTTTCTCTTTCTCTTTTCTCGTCTCCCTTCTCTGTCTCTTTTTTTCTTTTGGCTTATTCTTTTTTCTATCTCTCCCGATACTCTCCTTTTTTTTTTATTCTTTTTTCTCGCCTTTTTTTATTCATCTCATTGCGAGCGAAAAACTTTGAGAGCATAACATGCCTCGAACGAGACTTTTCGACTTAGCTGAAATGAGAACCGAAAATGGCAATTCGGAATTTTAAATTAGGCTGCGCTTCGACATTAGTCTGCCCTGGAATGTGGTGTTTCATGCGAAGTTGCTACGTTGGTAACGCGCCGCGGATAGTTTCGATTGCATCTTTCCTTCGTAGTAAAGTGTAGTCTCGAATTTTATCTTCTGCTTTATTTTTATCAAACGAATTTTTTTATTCTGTTCTTAAACAGATCACAGAAAAAACAAATTACAAATCGTAAAACTTTTTACTTTGTGCTTTTTTATTAAAGAAAGCAAAAAAAAAATCAGAAAGCAAGAAAAGCAAAAAAGCAAGAAAAATATATACAAATGATATTAATTATTTCTCTCACTCGAATAGACGTGATTATCTTACGAATGTGACTATGTGACTTGTTAGAGTGTCTTTAACTGCGAATTTTACTATTCGAATTTTTATAAGCTGCGCGCATTATTCCTTGCTTTTTATCGAAACCATATTGCATCTTATCACAATTCTACGCGAAGTGTGCATTTTAACTTTTTATTTATGCAGTGCTCCGTGACCTGTGGTACCGGAATACGGACGAGGACGATCGAATGCAGAGATGGTGTTGGTGCCATCTCCAGGGATTGCGACCCCGCGGAACGCCCTCATACCGAGCAGGAGTGCAAGACGAACGTCGCATGTTCCACATGTAATTGCGTTATGTCTAAGTTAAACTCGTATTGGATCGAACGGCAATTTAATACGACGATCTGAAAATTGATATTCGATGTTTCCTAAGTTGATTACACAAAATTAGAAATTAAATTCTGTATGAAGTTTAAGATTGTAAACTCGCGAACTGAAGAGCAAAATTAATTTTATTAAAAGATCTTTGCCAATATTTCTATTACGTATAATTTGGGAAAAGAATACACTCTTTTTAATGTTCATGTTTCATATCAAATTTTATAATAATCAGATTTGCTATAACATTTCATTTAATATTTCTTATCGTTTAAAAATTATTAATAAATGAATAATCAATTTTTCTATAAAAATATTTTTGTGTTCTGAAATTATTTTGTTGACGGAAAGCATTGCAAAAAAATAGTTATACGATAGGTTCACGTACATCATGTTCCCATTAAATGTAAAATCTGTTTTAAGTGCTAGAAATGTCGAATCTCTTTTAAGATTCAATGCGCTTTATTATGTGCAAAACAAACACGCTTCAAAAATAAAAATTCCGATCGAGCTTGAAAAATTATCGAAAAACGCGTGTTACCATGTGTTAAAGGAATATATATAGAAAATGAGATAGCATACGAAATGTTATTTAGATGGAGACGGTATGACACAACCTCTGGTGCAACCGTATCCGGTGTCAGAGAAATTGATGGACCAGCCAATACCTTCCGAATCGACGTAAGTACTACTCTCATATATCCTCTAACACATGTATATTTTTCAATGTTCATTTATTCAGACATTTTGTAATGTATCTGCATCACAGATTTTGTTAATCTTATTTTAAATAATTAGTATACTTATAATGTCTACTTATAATCTGACCTAATAATAATCCAATTGCACATACAAAAATTTAAAAAAAGTTAGAAGAATTTTTTTAATCACATCCATGCAAATATAATTATTCCTAAATTAAGATACAATATAATTAAGATTTTCTTTTATTCATTATTATCTTATCTTTGAAACTTAATGCATCAAATTATTGATTTTTGTTTCGTATTGAAAGTTTAAACCGAATTTTACATCGAATGATGTAAAAGTTATAGCTTCTTTTAGGATTATCTAATAAATTTAAAGTTAAATATTTTAGCGATAACATTGGTCAGTAATATCGATGAGATGTATATCGGTTTATAATAATTTTTTATTCATAACGGAAATTGAATAGCGTTTTGCGAATTTATCTTGATAGATATAAACAGGTGATATATTATCAAGTTTTATATTTTGCAATTTGATCCGGAGAATGTAAAGAAGCAAATAATCATGTTGTTTGATCTAATTTAAAATCCAATTTAGATAGTCTGCGAAGCGACCACCAAACGATTAATTCATCAAGTTCTCAGTTCGTATAAACTTTCCGTTTCGCTACAATTCTCACGGGATATGTAACATCGATCGCAATTCGAGAACAATGGCAGCAGCTTTAGAACAGCCATTACCACGGTAGCGAAATTCCATAAGATGTTAGACCTAGATTCTCTTCAGTCAGCGTTTATAACTTTCTCTCCGTGCGGTACTATCTGACAATTTTCTCGTAGCTTTAACATAGCCCGTCATTCGACTCTTCCGTTATCAAAACCATTTCCTCTATCATAGGTCTATCTTATATGAGGATAAATGAGGATAAATGAGGATAAAAGTTTAATTGCATTTATACTTACGTAGTCATATTCACATGTTTATTCTGATAAATATTTGAATCATAATCTAATCTGCTAAACATGCAGATGTTTTTTTATAATAAAGAAAGCCTAAGCTTTTTTTATAATCTATGCTTATAAAAAATAATTTATACGCTTTAAATCTCTCTCATGCTCACATCGAAAATGGGTGGCCGAATCTTAGACGCCCATCGCACTTTTCATTCCTCTGTGACCTAAAATCCCAGATACCAGAGTTTCCGGTCAAACTCGCGTTTTCCCGCCACATTATTCTTGACCTGAATCCGGTATCAATCGTGGGTACCTGGGTCTTCAGGTTTATCGCCGAGGATTGGTCCCCCTGCAGCGTCACCTGCGGGGAGGGTGTCAGGCATCGAGAGGTGCGCTGCAAGATCTACCTCGAGTTCAGCCAGACCATCGCCAAGCTGCCGGACAGCCAATGCTCCGGCCCGAAACCCGTTGAGACGGAGAAGTGCTCGATGGGGCCGTGCGGCTTGCTGGAGAACAGCCTATACAGGATCGTCGGCGATAGCGGATACGCCGAGTCAAGCCTGACGGATTCGTACGGTAGATCATCGGGTAGTTCCGGCGGAAGCGGATACGACAGTGGTATCAAGGTCGCCCCGGGTAGCGACGTGCAAACTACATACTCATGGAAGGAAACTGGTTACACCCCCTGCAGTGCTACATGCTTAGGAGGTAACGGATCGGACGACCATTGTTCGCATCCAAGATTGCTTTTGATAATACACCCGGACGGATAAGAGGTTGGGCTTTACCACCCGGGCGGTCCGGAGTTTCAGTCTGTCACGTATGGATTTTAAGTGATGAGTAGCTTCCGCGTATGAAGCTCATCTCAAACGTTAATCTTACACTAATGAACGAGAAACAAGTATCTCGGGAAATTATTCAATTTTGAGAATATTCGTAAATTTTCATATCTTCAAACAGAACGCATGAAAATTTTGCTTGGTTATCAAGTTTTTAGATAGAAAGAGTTATCATAATATCAAGGAGTATACTTTTATTATTATTATGATAAAATATATACATCTTTGTATTTATTATTACAGAGAGACATGCCTTTTGCATATTTATTATAGATGCCTCTTTGAATGAATGAAACAATTTAATAACTTCTTGTTATTTATCTTTCAATTTTCTACATGATATTAGTACATGGAGTATGAGAGTATTGCGCAGTCTGTACAAAGTCGATATTAATGATTTATCGAATAGCGAGGAGCGAAACGAATTTAACGTCGACGTAGTCCTTAATTAATTCGGAAAATCATACCGATTGTCATTGTACAATTAACAGCGTTTAGGTATAATCGTACTAAGATCAGTTTGTGTCGACTAACACGGTACAAAGGGATGAGCATACGCTTGAAGCGGATTATCTATCGTTTATGACGAATTGCGCGCATTAATTATATATGTGTATATGTGTATTAGTACGTACAATATATATATATATATATATATATATATATATATATTCTTTAGGTGTTCAAGGATCTTATCATAAATTGCGTACGGGACGATTCTGGGAAAACCGTGATGCCACTTTTTGTGCGCCTCAGAAACGAAACCAGAAGCGAGGATACGAGTCTGCAATGATCATCCGTGTCCTCCGAGGTAAAGCAACATTGTAACACAATGATAACATCGTGATTGATCAGTTTAATGCTTAATTAATTCATTGTATAATGATTGCTTTATCTTAAATATCTTGGGACTGCCATATCTTGATGACTTATCAGATACATCGACTTTAGTAGTTTCCTAAACTCTGTTTTCATTAAATGTTTGGTTCTTTCAACGAGAAAAAAAATCATGTAGCTTAGTAAAAATATTTTTATAAATAAATACTTTATAAATATGAATACTTTACGTATAATAATATGTCATGAAGAATAAGAATTTAGAAAATTTGATCTATTTTATTTTCTATATGTCGAAATTGTTTATTGGAAATTTCTTTTAGTCTATTATTTTTTTATTTTCTCATCTTTATATATTTATAATTATATTTAAATGATCTTTATCATATATCTTATATATTTTATATGATACATTACCGTACAATTTTGTGGCACATCGTATTCATGCGATTGGGAAAGGTTTAATTAATGTCACAATGCGATTCTCTGTGCGAGCTTTCTTGACAAATGTGTTATCATCTGCGCCCGCAGGTGGAATTATAGCGAATTCTCCACTTGCATGAGCCCTTGCGGTATTGGTATACAGACACGTGACGTTACCTGTATCCACGAGGTGACACACGGCACCGGCAAAGCAGTAGCCGTTCCAAATTACATGTGTCCGCAACCACCGCCCGCCGACAGACGATACTGCAATGTCTGGGATTGTCCTGTCAAGTGGAGCACGGGGGAATGGGGGAAGGTATATGTTTGTGTACAAGCTTTCAACAATCTCGGGGAAAAAGCTCTTTGTTACACACGAAATAGTGATATAAACCACTTTCCTCATTCGGCGCACTAAAATGTCACGAGAGAATCTTCTCGATGCAAAGAGCCAAAAATTTTTGTAGACAAAAATGATATAATGAATTCTGAGCTGACAATAAAGCTTTACTGCCGATTCAGAAAAAAAAATTATGTATGGATGTTAAAGGATTCATTATTTTTATTCATTTTCACATTTTCCACAACGAGCGATGCTTAAATATTAAAGCTATCCGCTTAAAATTTCGAGATTTCTACCTAACAGCGGTGTGGCCTGTACTACAATTTGATTTATATATTATAGCTTAGAAAGCGTGTTCTAAAATTCTCTAAACTTCTTCGAAGATTTAAACTAAATGAATAATTTTAGTGCTCGAAAACGTGCGGTGGTGGTGTGAAGAGGCGAGACGTGATTTGCGAGCAGATAATGGCGCAAGGTCGGAAGCAGAATCGCGAAGAACGCGAATGCCCAGCTCAAAAGCCAGCCAGTGAGAAACCTTGTAATACTAGAGCCTGTCACGACTCGGCCTCGAGCTCTCTCAATGTACCGCCGATTATCAGTAGCTTAAATACATCGTACAATCAAACCGATATCGGCGCGAAAATAGATTTGAAAATTGGCGGAATCGCCAGGATTTTTCAAGGGACGCCTTCTATCAAAATTCGCTGTCCCGTTCGAAAGTTTGACAAGTAAGTTGACAGGTGCGATTCGAAGGTGCTATTCATTTGCGAATTAGGCAAGCTATAATAAACTATTGTTATCAGAACGCAGATCGTATGGACGAAGGACAACAAGGAAATACGAAAATCGAGAAAATTCAAGATTAGCAGGAAGGGAGCTTTGAAGATAATCGATATAGCTTCTTCGGATTCGGGAGTCTACGCATGTATTGGTAAGAGATCTGTTTCGCCTGCCACGCTCTATGCTCTATCCATATTTCAATGGGCTGCTATGAAAAATGCGGTAATAATTTTTTAGCAGGAAATTCGCGCGCAGAGACGCAATTGATAGTGAAATTTCGCTCCAAAGAGCAGATAAGTAGCGAGGAATATTTACGACTCGGAAATTCCGTTCAGCTACAACGAAACGCGAATCTCGATTCTGCACCGGCGAATTCTGGCGAAAGTCCGTACACCGATCACGCAGGTAAGCATATTTTTCAGAAAAAAAAAAATTATTGACTTATACATTCACGTATTATTTATGTAGTTAATTATAATAATTAAGAAAATTATATAATAATAAAAATGTAGACAAATTTTATTAATTTCAAAATTTTACAAATAAAAAAATTTTACTTTATAGTTCTTTTTATAAGTTCTAAAATTGTAATCCTAAATTTTAAAAATGATAGAATTTATTAATAATATTTAGTTTTACTTGCACAACTTTGATTTGTTTTTATAGCAGCCTACGGAAATCGTTTTGATAGCGAAGATCTCAGTCACGAACGCGCGTTTCCGAGCAAACCGACGAGAAAACCACATCAGAAGAAGCAGAAAACCAGTCCCACTCCATCAGACGCCACGATGATGCACAAAGAGCATACTGTTACCTCTCTCAACCAGGTACACGAAATAACATTCTATTGTCAAGATCATTTCTCACTGCGATAATTCGTTGCGTGTATCTTGACATTGCTTAACAAATGGTATGTGCATGAATTTCATCAAACTAATTCTCTGGTGATGGTTCCGTATCCTTTGCTTTGTACTCCTGGACTAACTTTCCTCGGTGTCGGCTATTTGGTATTTCTGACTATCGATCAGCCGGGATATCACGAATCCGTGGAATCACCCGCTCCATCAAGTGCTTCTACTCTTGTGCCGCACTTAAGCTACTTGATATCGAGCTTGAAGGTAAGACGTTAATTTGTGAACAAACTTGACGGAGTTATAACGCGCGCCTGTGTCTGCCTGTGTTTTCTAACTAAAGTTTTGACAATTTACTCGGCACATACACGTTATATACCATAAGATTTAAGTATCAAATATTAACGCGCTTTATGACAGGCCTATTGGCCGTTTCACAGCGAAGTAGCCACGGGTGGTAGTCGCAGGATCGCTTCCACATCGTTCGTCGAAGATGGGCACAAAAGGGCCGCGACGACGAGGCGTAGAATGTCTAATCGAAATACCGATTTCACGTATCAAAGCGTAGAGAATAGCTTTGACAGTTTATATCGTAACACGGCCATCCCGGACGAGACCTTCGGTCCAGACGAGGAGCGTATATTTATCGACGTCGATCCTTACGATCTGGACGAATCTGTATTCGAGCTGCAACACGGCGATGGCGTCAAGTCGGCGGCCGACGTAATGGAGAAAGTAGGTACTAAGCTTACCACGAAGCCCGATATCGATTATATCGAGGAGTCGTTAAAAAATGTGAAGCGACAGTGGCAAGAGTCGAGAAACGAGTACCGAGACCAGTGGAGCACCACGCCCAAAAGTCACGTTCAAAGCAGAATCACGACGGAATCTATCACGTCTCCACAAAACGGTGGAGTGGACGTGTATTATGTTGAAGACTCGAGCACGAAAAAGGAAATGCTCAAGGAGGGAGGCAGTTTCGCCGACGATAGTGATAAGTCCATCAATCATGGCGCTTATGGGAACTTGAGAACTGAAGATTCATCGACCGTCACCTCCACAATGATGTCTAGAAGTCTTGAAGATCGATTAAGGATACCGGAGTCGGATCATCGTAGTTTGAGCCACGCGAACAGGACAATCAAGTACAGCGACGCGTTCGACGAGGAGTTGGATAAGCGGAAAATCGTGCCGTATGTGGAAAATCACACGGTGGATTATACAATCGTGCGATTTCCGGCTACTAGAGACCTGGAAAATAGAGCGAAGGAAGACTCGACGTTGATAGATGATCGGAGGTCGAGCGTCGTTGGGGAGAATCCTGACGAGAACGTAAGAAATTTATCTCGCAATCGCGAGGATCACGCTGGCTCCATAGAAAAGGCCTTCTCAGATAATCTAAAAGAAATATTTAGAGAGGAGCAACGTTCGACCGATGGAGATAAGCCCGCGGACGTTTTGACCTCCACAGTAACAAGAGAGGACGATACAACGAAAGATCCCGCTGTAGAATCGCTCGCTGAATTAGGTAAGATTGTCTTTGTCTAATTTACATTGTTTTGATAATGTTTGTAGTGGTTCAATAATTAAACGAAGGACTTATAATGCAGCTACGGATAATGTTCTGGTGTTCGAGTGGGTCACGACCGATTGGTCGAAGTGTTCTCAAACTTGCGGAGGAAGTGGATTCCAAGTAAGACCGTTTTTCTTAATTGTCGTTAGCTTGAATTAGAGAATTTACAATTTCTTCGACTTAATTCGAGAAAAAAAATATTTTAATAATTATTATCATTGTTAAGCAATTGTCTAAGAAATGTCTGAAGCGATAAGTAATTTTAGAAGACATAAATTTCATGCATTTCATGATATATGATCATATTCATTCATTTCGTAATATTCACTTACTATTTTTCACTTACTATTATTTAACACGCTATAAACTTTATCAATAAAAATTTATATAAAAAAAAAATTAAAAGGATAACCACATTCTAATGAAAATATTTAAAAGATTTATATTGAAATATATTTCTATTAAATATTTTTCTATTAAAAATATTTGTATCCACAGATGCGAGGTGCACAGTGTACAGTTCGATCGACGAAGATCGATGGCAATTCCACGCGCGTTTCGCCGAGGACGGTCATCGGTCAGACGTTGTGCGAGGACGCCGGATATCCGGTACCTCAGAAGGTGAGACCTTGCGGAAGTGGCAAGTGTCCTCAATGGCACACCACGGAATGGACTCCATGCGAAACGTCCAGATGCTTCAATTGGAAGACGGCAATGCAGAAGCGTGATATTAGCTGTCGTCTAGTGCACGACCTAGAGGATGGTCACGAGAACATTACATTACTTGATCCGAGCAAGTGCGACGAAGCCACGAGGCCGCTACAAAGACAGGAATGTTACAACGATGCCTGCAAGGGCGTGTGGAGGGTTGGCGAATGGACCGAGGTAGATCAACAATTTTATTTGAAATATTTGGCTTAAGAAATTGTAAATAACGATATTTATGCTGACGTTTTAACGCGCAGTGCCCTGCGTCTTGCGAAGAAGATGGTATTAAGTATAGGATTTTACAATGCGTCTGGTTCGGCACGAAGAAACCAGCGGGAAACGCTTGTAGAGATATACCACGACCTCCTGTAATGAAAACATGCAGGGGTCCGCCTTGTCCTCAATCTACCGGTAGGTTTAATCAAGGTATATTTAGTCTCTGTACAGAAACATCGTAATAATCAATATTTTACGTTCTCTGACGCAGAGAATTTTATTTGATTGACGATAACGTTGTTTATAGCATTAGCAGAAGATTGCAAGGACCATTCGCAGTTGTGCGGCAGAGTGAAAACGTTGAACATATGTAAGATGCCGCTGTATAAGAAACAGTGCTGCGCAACGTGTCGCTAGATTCGAGAGATTGATCGTAAGTGACTCATCATCTTGTGAAGATTAGATAAAATGAGCGATAATGAAGAGTGCGCGTGAGACAGAGACAGTGTAAATCGTGATTAGTCGAACAATTACTTCGTGACATATATAAACGCACCCGGGATGCCTGTTGTTAGTAAATTACGTAACACACGCCGAAGAAGCGTGGTCACTGTGGGATAAAATTGCACAGTATTATGATGTCTGATTTATAGATAAAAGAAAAAAATGTCCGAGAAAGGAGTTGACCAAAACTACTTCGCTGTAATAGTTTCTTCGTCGTATCGTTGCGAGAACTCGTTCACCTCCTCGCCTCGAGCGTTCCTCGTGTAACAAAGAGAAAAACCCGCCAATCTTAACAATTTCTAATTAATTGAACCATAATTTTATAACGTATGTCACGCGTAGTTTCGGTGCGATTCCTATAAATTGCGCACGCTCACAATTGTCCCTAGTTAAAAAAAGATAAAGGAAGACAAAATGAAAATCTGGCATTCGTCCAAGAAAGTTAAGAGCGTTATATTGTTATAGTTCGATGAGAGAATGGGGAGTAGAAATTTATTACTACACCTTGGAAGATCGTTATATTGCGACATACCGTTGAAATCGACACGTTATTGAATGTTGTCAATGTTGGTGCTTTAAGTCGCACGGAAAATGGCTTTAAACAGAATGATATTTAAATTTTAATAAAACGCTAAGTCTGGAGTGCTGGGAAGCATAAGTGATTTGTGTCGCAAAGCACTTATTAAAAACATTTCTTCTTGACGCTTATCTTTTTTTTTTGACATCTCCTCCCCCATCCGATAAACACAATCAATTTATTTTTCAAGCGAAAGAAAATCCCCTTTAAGACTGAAACGCTCTTTGAATATCATTATTCTTGGGCATTAATGTAAAGAGAGTCTCGTTTTACGTTCCAAAGAGAATCGTTTGACATTCCGTTATTACAAACAGGAAAGAATTATATATCTCTTCGTTTCATCTCTAAATATATATTTATTGAAATATTCCCTCTCTGCCTTATGTTTATAGATTCTTATATAAATTATTACAAATGTAAGATATATAAAGTTATTTAAGAATATAAGTTATCGGTGAATTACTGTGCGCCTATAAGCGTCCCGTCGGGCGATCTTAAGCCAATAGATCTTATAAGCAATAAAAAAAATATAAGTATTGTAATATAATATTTTGTTAATAATCTTTGGCGAAAATTCGTGAACATGACCATTCTGTTATTGGTTAAAGGGCCCGACTTTTTACTTATGTGCCTCTAATCACTTTTCACACTACCTAGTTATTACTTGTAGTTACAAATATTCATTTCTTTGTCGCATATTCATTCGTAGGACTCATGATAGAATTTGATGTTTTCAATAAGAACGATTTCGTCGCGCAAATGTTGATTGTACGTGAAATGTAATGAGGATTTGGCCCCTCCCTCCTTATATGATTAATCATATTTAAAAAAAGGAAAAATGTTTAATTACATCATAGGCGCTGCCGAAATTCTTCGTAGGAGATATGCACACCAGTGAAAATATTTTTAAAAGTCTATTAAAAAAAAATATATATATAAATATAAAAGATACTTAACTCTTATGATTATTGTATCAGTCAATATATACAGACGGCCGATTATATAAATGTGCGAATGCATTTCGTTGCATTTCACACCTACGGCGCGCGGCGCCTATGTGTGTGTGTGTGTGTGTGTGAGTTATATACGTCGATATGATTTGATAAGATTGTGAACAGATTTTCGCTATCAACGAATTTGCCTCGACACAGCTAAGCAGTTTGCCAAAAACGAGCTGACGTAAATGAAAAATAAAATATAAATTAGAATACTATTAAAGACAAGAGATACAAAAAGGTATATTACGAGCCATTATAAATTACTGAGATGCACACATATAATTTATATGTTGATACAAGAAAGATTAAAAGATATACAATAAATAATGTTGATTATGATGTATCAAAAATTGCGGTTCTTTCCTCGGCTACATATTTCTTTTGATTGAGGAAAGGGGTATATGATCTTTAATACGTCTTGCATATAATTTCAGCCAGCAAAAGGTGAAAATAAGTTAGTGCCATCGGCATATCATGTACACTTTTGTGTCACATTGAAATAAATAAATATTTATTTAATACTCACCTCGTAATATAATACGACTCCGACGTATTTACGTATGATCGATGCGCTATCAAGAAATCAATTATTTTCCAATTAATCAACGTAATGAAATATAACAATTCTTGAAAGGGAGATGAAGTCCGACACATACATTTTTGTATATATCACGATGTAGGTATGTAAAATGGCTCCACACTTAGTATTGTATGTATGCATTACTGTTCATGATATCTATGTAAATATGTAACTGCCTAAATGCGAATAAAACGAGAGAATATATCACTGCACAATACTGCACAATTATTGTAGTTTATTAAGCATATTTTTAATTTTAAGTTATCGTTTCTGGTTATTATTCGATTGATAGAATATTCAATCGATAGAATTACGAAATGTCGGCAAAAATTTATTAAATTTAAAATTTTAGAAAGTACTCTTTTTAATCTAATGCTCGTACAAACTCATTTGAGTAAACTCTT